CTATCTTAAATTATCCTATTTTATTTTATAGCCATATGGCGAACTTTAGTTTGGATTTTTACTTGTCTGCCTCTATTCAAACTCAGCCTACATAGACAGAGATAAGTAAAAGAAATCTTAGATTTAAAAATATTACTTAACAAGAGTAATTGAGTTAAAATATGACATTATGTAATACTTAATAATATAATTTAACTATAATGAATTTATTTAACATTTTAATAGAAATAGAAAAAGATTAATATTGATATTAATTATGCAATAAATCGATGCATACACTATTAAATGCCCTAATTCAGAACATGCCTATGATGTCAAATTGATATGTTTTAATGAGTCCTGTAGAGTAAATAGATTATATTGTATTTAATGTGTGAGAGATGGATGTCATGTTTCTCATCACTAAAATTAATAAGAATTACCAAAGTTATTTGAATTTATTTAAAAAATTCAAAAAGAATGTAATGATTTAATTACTAGTTTGTGTAAATAAATGGATTTGGCTTATTAGTAATTCCATTTATTGATTGATGGAATTAGATCGAAATATTAGAAATCTAAATAATAATTTCTTAATTTAAATTCAAAATAGATGAATTCTTTTTTTGCAGAAACCATCTAATTCAAATCATTTTAATAAGCAATTGATAACCAAATCTAATAATCCATTAAATAATTCTAAAATTAAATGCAAGAGTTTACATCTAATTTAAAATTAGCTGAATTAAATTATTATTCAATATCTAATACATATATTCTAATGTCAGAAGAATTATATGAAAAAGGTAATCAATCAATTAAATTAGGCTATCAATTATATTAGAATGATAAAAGGTTTGAAGAGGCGATTAAACTTTTTGATCAAGCATTAATTTTTAATTCAACACATTAATTATCATTATTTTGTAAAGGCATAAATATAATTAAAATTCTTAGCTGAGAGTTTATGGATGCTTAGCAAGTATAATGAAGCAATCATTTGGGCAGATAAGGCGTTGGAAGTCGATCCAAAACATTGTAATTCATTATTTTGTAAAGGTTAAATATTGTTAAAATTGTTAGCTTAGAGTCTAAGGAGGCTTAGCAAATATAATGAAGCAATCATTTGGGCAGATAAGGCGTTGGAAGTCGATCCAAAACACTGTAATTCATTATGTTGTAAAGGTTAAATATTGTTAAAATTGTTAGCTTAGAGTCTAAGGATGCTTAGCACATATAATGAAGCAATCATTTAGGCAGGACAGGCCTTGGAAGCTGATCCAAAACACTGTAATTCATTATGT